CATCTTTTCAGTAAATTACTTTTGAATATAAACATGCTTCCTCATCTCATTTGTGTGAATAAATGCAGGGTTGATGACTGCATCTTTAAATTATGTGATTCTTGCAGTCATCAGTTAAGGAGAGAATAAAACAATGTTGGATAAAAAATCATTCCTGATGCACACACAATTAGTTATACATGGGAAACTTCTCCCACCCATTCATTCCCCTCTTGTCTCAGATTTGTTCCTGAATGGTGGGCTGTCTTAGAGACACTTACGGAGGCCTTCAAAGTCAATCAGGAGCACCATGACACTATGAACATTTTTTGTAGAGAAAATGTAAAATTTTATTTTACTAAAACTAAGAAAATTAACAATGAGCCCATTCACAGTCTAATGAAACAACCATAATTTTTCATTGTTTCTATTAAAAAAGCAAGTAATTTGTGTATATTGTTTATAATGTGAAAGTCTGGCAAGCAAAACAGAAATAGATGGATAGTATCCATATCCCACCACAGTAATCACTGGACAATTTTCTTTTTCTTCTTTTTTTAAAAAGATTTATTTATTTGAGAGAGAGGGGGCATGCTTATGCGCGGGCACAGGGTGTAAAATCTCAAGCAGACTCCTCGCTGTGCACAGAGCCCATTGTCCCAGCCCTATGCCAATTCTCCATCTTAGGAGAGATTATGACCTGACCCGAAATCAAGAGTCGGACACTCAACTGACGGAGCCACCCAGGTGCCCCTGGAAACACTTTCTTAAGTGGCCTTGAAGACCCCATGAGTGTATGTGTGGATTTGTGTATAGTATAGGATCTCCCTGGATGTTCTTTTCTGTAGCCTGCTTTTGTTCAGACAACAGTGTATCAAAGATATGGTTATAGATCAATAAATATAATACTCCTATCAAGCATAAGAGTAAAAGCTAATCTTTAGGAGGGTTTAACATTTCCCAGAATGTTGTATAAAGACTCATACAGTATGTAACCTTCCGAGTCTGACTTTTTCACCTGGTGTAATGCATTTGAGATTCATTCATGTTATAACCTACATCAGTAGGGTTTTTTTTCCTTTTTATTGCTGAGTAGTATTCTGTCGTATGTATGTACCACAATGTTTTAATCCATTCACCAATTGAAGGACATTGGAGTTTTTTACAATTATGAAAAAAAGCTGATATAAAAATTCAGGTACAGGTTTTTGTGTACATAATATTTTCCTAAATCTTGGATAAATACCAAGGAATAGGGATAGTGGTTTTGTGGTAAAGGTATATTTACCCTTACAGAAATTTTCCAAAGTATCTGTGTCATGGCTCATGGTACTTACGGTTTTGAATGGTTCTGAAATGAATCTTGATGTAGCTCATCTAGATTTTTACCTTCTGGTGAAAATAGGCAAGTTTTATTTATTTATTTGTTTATTTATTTATTTATTTAAAATTTTTATCTTTTTTTCAAATTTTCATTTAAATTCTAGTTAACATATAGTGTAATGTTGGTTTCAGGAGTAGAATTTAGTGATTCATCACTTACATGTAACACCCAGTGCTCAACACAACATGTGCCCTCGAAAAAGGGAAGTTTTATAAATGAGTTTTAATCAGCTCCTGGTTATACAAGAATTTGTCATGCACTTGATCCATTACCCACATCCTCTGATTCTTCTGTCAAGTAGCATTGGGGTGCTTAGTTAGCAAATCTAAAGCATTTAAAAAAGTTAAAGAGAAATGAAATAAATAGGAATCCAATTAGCTAGGTAGATTCAAATACCAGTATAAAACAAGTCCTGGGTACAATTTATGGAAGAGTTCCCTTTCTTATCATTTGTTATATATAGTTAAATATTATTTGTAATTAGATTTGTAATATATGAGATATGTAACCAATACCAAATAAAAAGCACTATGGTACATTTCCCAGGGTTCATGAGCTTACAGTCTAGTGGGGAGATCGATAATCTTATATAGGCCAATATAGAACGGGGTGGTGATGGCTATGCTGGAGGAGGGCATAAAGGGAGACCTACTCAAACTTAGCAATGCTTGCAGCAGCCTCTAAGGAGACATCCAAAGGACTGTTAGCCAAGTGAGGAGGAGAGAGGAGAATGTTTTAGACGGAGAAAGCAGCTTGCACGAAGATTTTGTTTGGCAGGTAGATAACACGGAGGCAAGAGACATGGGGGTGCCATTAAAGAGTGTTCAGGTGGGGTCCAGAATGAAGGTAAAAGAAATAGAATCAAGAAGGGGCAAGATGGGCTGGAGCAGGGTGCCTGGGTGGCTCAGTTGGTTAAGCGACTGCCTTCGGCTCAGGTCATGATCCTGGAGTCCCTGGATCGAGTCCCGCATCTGGCTCCCTGCTCGGCAGGGAGTCTGCTTCTCCCTCTGACCCTCCCCCCTCTCATGTGCTCTCATTCTCTCTGTCTCAAATAAATAAATAAAATCTTAAAAAAAAAAAAAAAAAAGATGGGCTGGAGCAGATGAACAGATTAGTGGTTGGGAAATTTCAAAAATGGCCAAAGAAACTTTGTAGTACGAAGGAGGTAGGACAGGAGGTAAATTGGGGCTTTACGTTTCTGATGTGGTTGACAGTTGGGAATATAGTCATGAATGTGTGCTACAAGTGTGGCGGCCAGGTCCTTAGAGTTAGTGAGGTTAAAGAACTTCAGATAGAGAACATGGATACCCACATCCACCAAGTACGTAAGCCCATTAATATTAACAGACTCACATGGAGCTTCATGTCGTTGTGCTGGGAAACTTTGAGTTACAGTAAAACCGAGTCTTTGCTACAGATCTCAACACCATTATGCACAGTGATGTTCTAAGCAATGAATATAATGTGCAGTTATTCCCAGAAATTTTTGAACACAATGATTTTATTTTGGAGAGAGTCATTCAGGATTACAGCTTTTTAAGGCGGTGCTCTTTTTACCAGAGGAATGGTAGCATTTTTAAAAAGAATTTATTTTATATGCCTGACAGTGTTTACATTGCTAACCAATCACTTTACTACACCTTTAGGCAGTGGTTCTCAGATTGGTGTAAAAGGGAATCCTTCGCTTATAGCATTTGCGCAAAGGGCACATTTCTGGGATACACGCCCAGAGATTCTGATGCAGTAGGCCTGGGCAGCCTTGGGCCTGGGGATCTGTGGTATCAGCCACCTCAGGTGATGTGGATATGGAGCCAGCAATTGGCCTAGATCCAGTTGGGCCTGCAGACCTTCTGAAACAGTAGTTTTCAATATTGACTACACATTAGAGTCATCTGGAGAGCCTTTAAAACTACCATTGACCAGGACATGCCTCAGACCAATTAAATCCAAGTCTCTGGTGTGTCAGTATTTTTTTTAAAGCCCCCAGGTGATTCCGGCATGCGGCCAAGATTGAGAACTTGTGGTCCTAAACATCCATTGTGGAAAGCCTTAAATCCTCGGCTCCTTGGGACTCGGAGATACTTCATAAGATCTATAGCTGATGCTCCCTTAAAAGCCCGGCCTGCCTCTGGTTTATTTAGCTTATCAGTGAAAGCCACCTAGAGTTCTCCTTTCTCTGGAGACCAACGATTCTCTCAGAACGTAACTTTGAGCCCCTGTCTCCAAATAGTACAAAAAAGAAATTCGTGAATAGAAACAAAACTCTGAGCTAATGTAAAACTCTGAACTGAACAGAAAACCACGTTAAAGGAAGAAATGGTTCAAAACAATCTTCTTTCCCAAGAGAACTTTGGTTTTATCACATTTCAGCTTTTATGTCTTCATCTCCCCAGCTTCTTAAAACATGAAATTGTCGGACATGAATTTTTCAATCTGTTTCACAGCCTGAATTTGAAGTTCTCTAGGAATTTCTTCTCAGGTGGACCTAACATTGTTTTTCTTTCATTGAAAATACCAGCTTCACCATTTACCAGGAGGAAAACTGAATGTGACAACATAGGGTCCTAGAGCACACACTCCAAGCATGACTCTTTTTAATCCTTCTCTCTTTTGTCCACTTTGTCTTCCTCAAGGGACACAGTGAACAAACAAAGGAAGCAAATAGCAGAATATAAAAGGCCAATATTTAGGAGTATGGCCTTCATCTAGCCTCCCTGATAAAATGTAGGCTGCATCTCCACAGCATCAGAATTGTTGATCATTATAGGACCCTGATTCCTTCTCCTACACTGTGGTGCTAGGTTTTTTCAGGCTTCAAAATATTTTATATTTTAGGGGAAAATACTGTGTATTCTGTTACACAAGCAGGGTCTTGGGCAGCACTTTGTAATCAAAAATGGATATTTCTACAGCAAGGCATAGAGTATAAATAACCTCAGAGCAATTCAGGGTCAGTTTTACCACCAAATGAGTGTACCAATCTTACAAGAAACATTTGGTTTTAAAGTTTGTGCGGATATTAGAATATTAATACATATATTGATTTCTTTCTCTTTGTACTTTTTCCTTCTCTTTTTTCTTTTACTTTTTATCTTGTTGCCCTACCTTTATAGACAATTACAGATGTTTGACTAGAGATAAGGAATTTGGTGCATATAATCTCACTTAATCTTAACAAGAATCCATTCAAAGATATATTATTATTTCCATTTCACAGATGAGAAAGCCGGGTCTCTGAAAGATTAGATTGCTTGTGAACATTTCAATTGTTATGAAACCCACCTTCCACATTCCATATGAATGTTAAATTCATACTACTTGGCAGCAGTGTCTATTCTACCACACAGCTTCCTCACCAATAGAGACGAAGACAGAAATCACTGAATTAAAGTCATTTTATGCATAGATCTTTTTTTATGTTTAGTTTAAAAACCTAAGCTGATTGCTGGCAACCTCCTATTAAAACCCAAAAGCTGTTTATAGTCATGTTGAAAGAAAGAAACTGGAGCAGTATTTAACCTCAGCATTTGGTCTAATAATATAGCAACATAGAACTTGAAGTAAACTAGTTCTTTGTCCAAGTAAATAAGTCCGTATTAAATAAGCATTTAAATAATGAATAAAACACATTTTGTAGGTGTCCCGAATTCAACCTATTGAGAACAGTCAAGAAGAAAATTCACAGGGAAGGTCCTTTAAAGACTGTCTTGCAAGGCTCTTCAGCTGGATACTGGGAATAAGCCACTGCGAACATCTTCAATTAAGGCAATAAACGTATGTGCGCTAGAGCACACTGGTGTTGGAGTTGGGTTGCAAAGCTGAGGCAAATACAGAGAATGTCCTTCTGTGCAGGTTTCCATCCCATCCAAATCTATAAGTACTTGATTGGTGTTGTTATTGTTATTATTTTACCTTTCAAATGTTTTTATTTTTTTATTGGTTTTTCACTTAATGGGAATTTGGCAATCCTCAACCAAATAGCCCTTAATAATAATGGCTTTTTTGTTTTCCTAGCTGAAGTGCTCTTTTTGCATTTCCCACGTATTTTTTTAAAGGGAAATGGTGAGCGGACTGTCTTGTCAGGTGACAGGTCATCACTGCATTGTCATAAGCTGAGGTAGTTTTGTTTTAAATAACATTTTTTAAAATAACAGTATGATTTCTACAAAGGGAAGAATAGAATAAATAGTAAAATAGAGACTTTTATGTAGAACTTAGAGCTTTACAAATTGACATACGATATAGACTTTAGAATTTACCAAATTTAAGAATCCAAAACTACTTTTCAGAAACAAGTGCTCGTTTTTCCATGGGACCTCTGCACTCAAGGACTGGATTCAGTATTTTGCACACTGATTTGCTGTGGACTTGAATGAACACTTTCTAATGGACGTAACACATTTTAATCTTCAACTCTTTGGGCTTGAACTCTGCCATCTCTACTATAAGCCTCTGTATGTGTAGTTGCAAAAAGTAGTAATTGCACTGATCAATTATCTGACCCCTTTCTTTGTGTGACTCTGAATTAAACTTTTATGCATGAGTTTTTAGTTTGCCTACTACCTGTTTGCAGTATTATCTATTAATAGGATTTGTATTGGCAGATTAAGAATTCAGCCAGATTAAAAGGAGAAACCCCTTGTTACCTGGTTTGCCTCATAAGAAGTCCATTTCTCAAGATGGTTGACCTGAAAATAATAAATGCAACTCTGGCTTTTTATATTACTGAGAAAAATGCTGACGGGAAGTGAGGACTGCCATAACTTCCTGCATAGGAATGATGCCATTTGTATATTTCAAATTATGCATTTACATACTTTGCTAATCTAATTTTTATAACATAGAATCAGAGTGTTTTAGGAATGGTAAGGACCTTAAATAATTACCCTTGTTCTTTCTTTAGATTCCTTCAGGGAAAATCACCCTTATGCTAAAAGAGAATTAATCTTAGTTTTTAAATCTTCCTGAGATAAGTAATCCATCTCCTTCATTCTATGGTGTGGGTTCATTTGCTCTTAGACAGTGAAATTAATGAACAGATGGCCCCCATGCTCTCTGTATACTCCTTTCATGTACTTAAAACCTATTATTAAATTTCCCCTTAACTTTCTCTTCCCTATGTACAGTCACTTTAATGTTTTATTTTCATCTGTTTAATCTCTCTGCTAACGCCAACCTTAAATGATAAGCCCTTAGCAGAATCCTTCTAATTTCAATCAAACAAACAAACAAAAAATCATCTCAGAAGTTAAAACTTAAGTGTGATGTGAAACTAAAATTTTGCTAATTGGAAAAATGGGGGAGACTTGGGATCTAAAAATGGAGTCAGTCTGGAAACTGTAGTTTAACTTGGTAATGACTTAGTGTAATGAAAGGGGTGATATTGTTTGGACTCAACCGGCAATGAAAGGAAAATTTAGTGGCCATCGAAACATGACTTTAAACGCCCAGACTGGCCCCAGTGTTTCCTAGTTCTCCATAGCACACTTTGAGTTCTACACCGGATGCCTTATTTCTAAATTGTCCTTATGCCCCTATTTGGGAAAGTCCCAGTTTCAGTCTGTTGTCCCCAGTGTATCATTAGCAACCCTTTTTCCAGGGTTTAGATGATAACTTACAGCTCGCCCTCCAGTCACTGCACTTTCTTAGTCACTCTCTTCAGCTTGCACTTGTCCCTTGGCTTTTCCTCTGCTTCTGTCCTGCTTTGCATCGATTATTAGTGATTTGTTTTTGATACTTTCCCTGTTCTAGTAAGGTCTTTTAATATTTCAATTCTACCTTCCAACGTAATGGTTGTCTCTTTCACTTAGGCTCATCTTCAGCAAATTTAATGAGCCATGTGGACACTTGATTATCTAGGTCAAGGGAACACTGACACTTAGGTCAGTGGCCTTCAGAACACCACCTATTTTCTCTCTTTTGTCTCCTTTCCTGTATGTCTGTTGTCACTTTCTCGCTCCTTCCCTACCCCTGCCGTCACTGACTGGTTAATCGTCAGTTGACTGATATCTTAACATCTTTCCAGCAATCACTATGTGCTAGGTCCTGTCCAGAGGTATGACATTCCTGCCAGGTTTGTACTGAAACACTGTGTATCAGATTGTATTCTCTTAGTCCACAGGTTTCAAGTCCCCATGGGGCCACTGGAAATAAAATTATGATGTATTGTTTCCACAGTTCTGATGGCTTTTATTCCATCAAAGTGCATTATAAAACTCTGACAGTCTTTTTGTCTTAAAATCACGCTTGTGCTTTTGTAAGAGAAAATCAGGAAAACTCGGAGATGAGTTGCCGAGTTCCCTAACATTTTCATCATGCATTTTTAAAGTGAGAAATTACACTTTCTAAGGTGTTCTTAGTAGTTAGTGGAAAAGGTGGCGTGTTCTGCTCACTACTGATTCCTTCTGATACTGTTTTTCTCTAGGTTTAAGTGGGTCAGACCTGGAAAATAATGCCATAAGCACTAGTCAATGATGTTCTCCTACTTCTGGTTTAATATGCCTAAATTCAGTGAAAATGAGTTTTAATTTCTTCACACACATTTTGTAAATGTTTTAACTAGTTAAAACACTTTAACTTGAAAAGACCTACATATATATGGAAGAAAGCTCATGGCATGCACTCATTACATGAAATTCTGTTCATGATGTCTTTTTGACTTATGAAGAGTCAATACAGAAACTACTATGAAAAACACTTAGGGCAGGTAATATGATGGTAAAATCCTTTTGTAATGCTTGCAGTTATCAGTTGGGGCTGTCAAGTATGTTACATCTTGACATAACCCTATACGTAGCATGATTAATTATGTCATATCAGTTTTCCACAGCAATATTTCAGCAGCCATGATTTGGTCTGCTGCATGTCTAAATCCATTTAAATATTAGCCCTTCCAGAGGGTTTTTTTGTACATAGCTCTGTTGCTTTAAAGGAGGTGGAGGAGGAGGAGGTGGAGGAGGAGGAGGAGAAAGTCCTATAAGGAATCCTCTGATTGAAGTAAACAACAGAGATTGCAGTCTGTAGTCTGGATTCATGAATTCAAACCTGAAGTGTTTGTGGAGTGACGTCACCATGATGACATCCTGACTTTGCTCCCCTCCACAAGAACAACTAAGAACTGTTTAAGAACAAGACGCCACTGAGAGAATTCCGGAACACGGGAGTGAGGCTGAAGCACCCCCCACCCCCCCACCCCCCCATGCCATTAGAGACTGAGACAGACTGCATTACAAGTGTAAGAGAAGCAGCTACATGTTGGCCCATTGTCCCTTTTGAACAGCTGCACAGCACCACCTGGAGAGGTTCCCCCTGAGCCTTCAGTTCCCCCAGTGAACAAAGAGAACCCAAAAGGGGGACCGGCTCCCCCTAGCATTGTGGGTTGTTTGTAGGGGTCTCTATTCTGATCTCACACCATGGAAATTGCAGGGAAATCTGCAGGTTCAACAACTGGGAATCTGTGTGTGATGGAGAAGCAGGGAGGGGCTCACAACAACGAGCACACGGATCTTGGCAGACCAAATTCATACCTGCGATGCGCTAGTAGTCATCCCAACCAGCAGTTTTACAAATCTACAGGACCAAACTGAGGGTGCCCTCTGACTAGGGAACTCAACAGGGTGAGGATCTGCCTAATCCAGATCCTCAAATGAAGAGTTTTGCCAGCCCTGGAGCCTGATTTCCCCACACCCAGGTGAGGAGCTAAGTCACAGCCTTACCTAGAGAGTGTCTCCCAGCCCCTTGAGTCTAGAAGGGCTGGTGACAACTCCTGTAAGCAGTGTGGCCCAGCGGTGCTTGAGAGGTGGGCAGGCAGAGCAGATAGAAAGCCAATACTGGGCATGGAGAGTTCCTATGCTCTGCCCAGGCAGGGGGATTAATTTATAGTTAAGACTGAGGGTAGCTCTGTCCCTCCCAACCAGAGAGCATGTTCGGGAAATTGAGAGTAGCCTGCAGTGCCCCTCCCCATCCTGCCCAGGCAAGGAAGCAGCAACATAACTTCACCTGCTGTGGAGAGTGTCTTGTGACCCCATCTAACCAGAAGGACTAGAGACAACTGGAAGCTATGCAGCGCAGTAGCCTCAGAGAGATAAAAGGCAGGCGGGCAGAGCTAATAGTCTGCAGAACAAAGCCATTGGCATGTTAGGTCAGGGAACTTGGGGTACAGGTCAGCTTAAGTTAAGATAACAAATAGAGCTTTACCAACTTTAGAGCTACTTCTGCTGTGTCCAGGCAGGGAACCTAATTCATACCCCACTCATCACTGAATACAGGCTTCAGCCTGTCCAACCAGGGAATAATAGCAGGCTCCACCTGCCCAAGGACTTTATTAGCAGACACAACCAGAAACCTAAACTGAGCTGACTGGTGAAGAACTGTCTCTGCCAAAGCAAACTTGTAAAGTCTGGAAGACGAGCCCAATTATTCAAATGCACAGATACCAACATAAGGAATCAAGGATCACAAAAAATCAGATAAATATGGCACCACCAAAGGAAACTAATAAAGTTCCAATAAATATCTCTAAACAAATAGAGATCTAGTTGCTGTCAAAGAATTCAGAATAATCCTCTTAAGGATGTTTAGTGAACTACACATTAAATATAGTCATAGTTAGATTCTGCAATATGGTAATAGTGGTATATAATTCACTTAAAACTCTAGTTTAAAAGTTAAAAAAAGAACATAGTAAAAATAACCATAACTACAATAATCTGTTATTACACAACATAAAACATATAACTTGTAATAGTGGTAACCTAAAATGTGAAGGAGAGGAA